GGGGTGGAGGAGACAGACTAGAGAAGGTCACTGAGGAGAAGATGACATAATAGAGTTAACCAAAAATTTTGGAAACTCACATCATTAGAAAAAAAAGTATAATTATTTCCAGGAAGGAAAGAAACTAACATTTTAAAAATTCATATTATGTTAATTTCCTATTATATTATGTTAATTTTGTTAAAATTCCTATTATATTAATTCCTATTGAGCCTAGGCAAGGCACTTTACATACTTCTAATACTTATATCAACTAAGGTATCAACTAATAACACAAACTCCAACACAGCGAGATCTTAGTTTCAGCTCCTCCTTTTTATTTTCTGCCTCTGCCATTTTGATGATCAAAAAAATACCATTTAAAACAACTTAGTTCTTGGAGAATTCCACAGGAATTCTACAAAAACCCTCACCCTTTAAAATTGTATTGCTAAACTTGAAGTCTAGAATAAAGTGTAAGTATGGCATGAGATGGCAAGAGAAACATGAAGTACCCACTTCAGTATTCTTTTTATTAACACTCTGAAGCAATTTTAAATGTTTTCTGGAATACTATCTATGAAGGCTGTTTTTAGAAAATAACAAAAATCTAAAATTCAGGAATTTACAATTATAAGAATTTCTTTAATTTCAATAGCTTATGAAGTTCAAAGTGCCCAAAAGTCCATTTATATTCACTATGAAACCACATATACAAGGATACACAAGCATGTCTGTCAAAAAAACCCAAAAAACCAAAAACAAAAGAAAACTTTGGCTAGTGTCTTCACATTTCTAGACAGTGGGAAATGGGAAATCTACCTCTAAATTCATCAGCAATTTCATCAGAATTTGCAGCTGATCACCTAATAAAGACTTCAAGGTCTTCCTTGGCATGCTAGAAAACTCTAATGTGAAGCCCAGCTCTCTGCCACACCTTGGGAAAGAAATCAGACTGTCCACTCTCCAAACAATATCCTCAGGCCCAGGGAGTAAGGGGTAGTTCAAATGAGCCATCTGGGTTAGAAGTAGCCTGTGTTGCAAGGTTTTCTTTAGGGAGAGGCTTCAGTAAAAGTTAGGATGAGAAACGATTTCTATTGAAAGGAGAACAGGCTGACGTTTAGTATCAATAATAGCACAAAGGATCAAAACCCAAGAAAAAGAAAGTGCAAGAACAGAAGATAGAGGGGAGCTTATTTAACTTCATACTATAAGAATGTGTCCTACATGTGGTCTTAAAACAATCATCTGCCTCATAAAATCAGAGACCCTCCGTGCAAAGGCAGGTGAAGAAACGCAGGTGGGGTGACAGACAGATCCTGCTAGACAAGAAACAACTAGATGGGGTCAAATTGCAGAGGCCACAACAGAAATCTGGCTCATTGTAAAGCCATAATCTGGTCTCCATTTCAAATTCTTGATTGTGTAAAAATTGGGAAAATCAGCAAAACATATGTCTAAAACGGTTCTGATCTTGACAAACCCCTACTCAAAAATTTCCAGGGCCACCCCCACCCAATACCTCCAGGTAAAACTCTGGAAACATTCCAGGCCCTCCACACTGTGCAGCCCTAAGCTAAGCTGCTTCCACCTCAAAGACCCAGTGTTTTAATTGGATTAGGCTACATGTCTTCCAAAACCCACACTCAATTTCCTGCCTTAGACCCTCTGTCTAGGCTTTCCCTCCTATCTGAGCTCATCTATCTAAACCTAAGCCCCCCTTTAAAACCAGTAGACACACCTGTTTCTCCATGTCATCTTCCCTGACCTTCTAGCAATAAACATGAAGACTCCATGCCTCTCTTAACAACATCACATTGTGCTTAACTGAGAACAGCTCCCCTTCCCTACTAGAGATGGTCCCTGACTTATAAATTTTGACTTAAATTTTTCAACTTTATGACGGTGCAAAAGCAATATGCATAATAAATAACATGAAATAGTCAACACTTTGTTATAAAATAGACTTTGTGTTAAATGATTTTGCCCAACTGTAGGCTAATGTAAATGCTCTGAGCGTGTTGCTATGATGTTCAGTAGGTTAGGTGTCTTAAATGCATATTAGACAATGATATTTTCAACTTGCAATGGGTTTATCAGGAAGTAACTCCACCATAAGTCAAGTAGCATCTGTAAATAGTAATCTTAAAATTAGGGATGGTGTCAAATTTCACCTCCCTATCCACCTGGTGACAAACAAAGGGCCACAGGTAGTAAGTGCTCAATAAATATGCAGTAAATTTAACAGAAAATCTGCTACCAATTTTCAATATTTACCTCTAAAATGTGAATGCAGAATAATATACTTCTCATATTTAGCAACTAGAAAAATACCCTGTATGATGAAGATGAACAGCACAGACCACTCCTCAATGTGGACTCCAGCCAGGTATTCAATGGGGCTGCCTAGGCCTTGAGGAATCCCAGGATTTCAGCTGTCTCCCAAGTCACATCTGCAACTACTTGAAAAGCCCTGAAAACATAAGCTTAGACCTAGCTGAACTGGCTGAACTGGGCCTGCCCCAGAATACACCTTATGTTAGTGCTGGATCTTTCTTCAGAAGGACTTAAACTCTGTAGAGATTTCATCCCACATATAGTCACAACCTCCAAAAGAAAAGGCTGAGGCAGTCAGTCTCTTCATTTCACAGACCAAGAAAAGGTTAAATAGTGTATTTAGCAACAACACTGGGATCATAGTTTTAAATTCACATATGAACCAAAGTAACTAAAGTTCTGAGAGGCTATTTTTTTTTTTTAAAGATATGCCTGTTCCCCATTCCCTGAAATAATAACAAGGCAACACAAACTGTCTACCTCACCTCAAACATAGGCTGCTATCCAATAAAGACATAAGAGAAAGTTGTATTTCATTAGCTTTGTTTTAAAAAGTTAAGGAGAAAATTAGTTTCAGCTATCCTTTGAATAAAAAAAAGTTCTTAGAAAACTAGACACTGAGTCACTGAATTAATATATCCCTCCTGTGATACATGTTCAAAATCACACTAGTTATTACTTTAATTTTTAAACTATTTGATACAATGAAATGAGATTTCTATAGATATCAAGGACTCAAAGGACTTCTAGTCCTATAACTCCTAGTGTTTAGCTGAATCTACAATCCATAAATTCATAATATTCTTTTAAGAGATTTTCTTATGCCCTTACTTTTTAGGTTTTTAAATATATTTCAAAACAATCCCTGCCCGGCCAGGTGTGGCTCAGCGGTTGAGCGTCGACCTAGGATCCAGGCGATTGGGGTTCGATTCCCAGTCAGGGCACATGCCCAGGTTGCGGACTCGCAGCCAATCAATGACTCTCTCATCATTGATGTTTCTATCTCTCTCTCCCTCTCCCTTCCTCTCTCTGAAATCAATAAAGATGTATTTAAAAAAAAAACAACAAANCTCCTTTCCTCTCTCTGAAATCAATAAAGATGTATTTAAAAAAAAAACAACAAAAAAAAAACAATCCCTGAACTGGCTTAGCAACCTATGACTCAGTAACCACCCCCCCACACACAGACCTATATATTAAAACACCGATTGCTTCTAAAACTAGAAAACTCATTATTCCATTCTTGGCCAAGGTATACAGATCATGTAAAAGTTCATGTAGGTAAAAACTTGAAACAATATCAGAAAAAGAAATTGCTTTAAATGGGAAGTTCTGTTTGGAAAACTCATGAATTTCCCTAAATGCATTCAATTCAATTCAAGATATAGTTACCAAAAGTCCAATATAAGGTTCTTTAAAAACACTGTAAATAAGAATATACATATATATAAGACTCTACACTCAAGGATCTTACAATAAATTTAACATCCTAAAAAACAAATAAGCCAGGCATTATTACTCATATGATGTGGTAATTTTAAATGATCAATATTTCTTATATGAAGGAATGATTTTCTTACAGTGCCTAATGTAAAATATTTCTAAATATCCCTAAGTAGTCATTCTTAATTTGATCATTTCCAATACTTCCATACTATCCTTAAGTCACCATGAAAATGAAATGTTATCCTAACTTTAAGATCTGAAGTTAAAAATAAAAATAGCCACATGCTTCACAAAGTATTAAGTTAATGAAATTTTAAGTTTTAGTATTTAGCATCATCCAACAGTATTTTTTAAATTAATATTTTATAAATGTAATAAATATAAGCAAAATCTGTCAATTAACTTCTGTGAATTAACTTCTGTGAATGACACAGGTCCTACACCTACTATTAGCATGTATGGTCTGTTAATAGTAAGCATACGGAATCAATATGTATGTTAAAAACGGGACCCATTTCCTTTTAAATTAAGCCACATGCAAAATCACCAGATATGATTTATACCTTAGTCTCTCGACCCATCATATACTCAAAGAGCACTTTTCGCAAATACTCAAACTCAGTAGGTTCTCCAAAGAGTGAGACATCAGTACGGTACAAATTGCCACCTGTCAAATAAAAAACAGGTAAAACTGTAAAGACAAAACTAGATGAGCTACTTATTACTTAGAAAATAGACAAACTAAAAAACAACTGACAAAGAGACACATCATTCTTGTATTAATTATACTGTATTGCATGGTGCTGTACTGTATATACATGAAGCATTACAACTGGTACCCTCCCTTGTAAGAGAAAACAAGGATTATTACAGCAGCTTTATTTCTCACACTTTTCCTCTTCCTCCTCTTCTGATATGACAATTTTAAAAGACTATACTTAGGGAATACAAAGATTCCTTAAATCTTAAAAATTATGTGTTGGCTTCAGATATTCCACAACAATTAAAATTAACAATCATTTTTCTTTTATTAAGAGTTTAGTATCTCAGAATAGTATTCTAGTTTTTCTAGTATTCCAAACCAAAAAGCACTGAGTTGAAATCAAGTTTTCAGAATAGTTTTTGAAACACAAGATAAATCAAGTAACTTGAAAATGCATGAAATATTAATGTCATTATAGCAATTTTCAACTATTTTGATTCAGCATCTTAAAAAGACTGCCATAATAAGTTATAGTTTATCTGTTAAGCTCTATTTCAATCTAAGAGTAAAGAATAAATACAGTTCAGATATGTGAAGTCACACTATGACAAACTTTAATCTGAGTAAGTTCATAATTATGCATTATGTGAAATCTATACTTGCATCCACTTCCAGTAGTATGGCACACCAGGTAATCTGAAAAGCCCTCTGCTACCAAGAAACATCTAAATGCTGCATAAAAACATTCTCAGATCATAGGAAATCCCTAAAGGGATAGAGGAACACAGGAAAATAAAACCATAAAATTAATGGGAAGGCAAATGGGATCTGGGGATGCCTAGACAGTAAAAGCCCATATTGAGTTTTGTAAAGAAGCCAGAGACTAGGGGAATGCACTTATGCTATAATATAATACCAGTGGTTACCCTTGGGAAAAAACAGAGATAGGAGATTAAAGAGCAGCACAAGGAGCCTCAGAGGTACTGCAATGTTCTAGACAGCAGATTCACAGGTGTTAACTAATCTTCATACTTGATATTTACATCTCATGTATGTGTATGTTTGGAATACTTCATTTTTAATTAAATTTATTGGGGTGACATTGGATAATAGGATCATATAGATTTCAAGTGTGCACTTCTATGATACAAGATCTGTACATTGCACTGTGTGCCCACCACCCAAAGTCAAACTATCTTCTATCACCATATATTAGGCCCCGTCCACCCTCCATACCCCCCTTCATTTTTTAAAAGTATGTATTTTTAGAAGACCCAATTCACTCAAACCACACTTTGCAAATATAGAGTACCAAGAACTAAATAGTGATAAAACACTATTTTCTCTTAAAAAATACATGTGTTTCATCCCTCTAGATCAGTGATTCTCAACCTTTTTCATCTCAGGACACACACAAACCAATTACTAACATTCTGCAGCATGGCAAAAAGTATATCTAACAAAAAAAAATAGGTACACTTTTGATTCACTCACACCGGACAGCTGTTGTTGTGTTGGCTACAGTCATTTTTTATGTGACAATCTAAGGGAAAACAGGTCAGTGCCCCTGACTAACTAGTCAGGTATTGCATGTTTTGAAAAATTCTTACAGTACACAGGTTGAAAACTGCTGCTCTAGATCAACCAAATACAAGAGTTTACAATGTTTTTCACTTTTCAGAAAATAATTGATTTGTTTTAAACATTAAATTACTTATTTATAGCTATTTTCCTGGAGAAACAATTAATACTTTTTCCTGTATGGTGGGTGCTCATTTTACTCTTATTCTCTAAAGACACAGAATGGTAAAGAGATTAATGTGCATATTCAACCAGACAACTTGGGTTGTTGAGAGGATTAAATGAGCTGATACACATAATATATTTTATAATAGTGCTTAATGTTATATATGTGTTGGTTATTAAATAATCAATGTATGATCATTTTACAATTTAAACTGAGAAAAAATGTCATGTATGAAATCCTTAAGTTGACACTACCAAAAAGAGTCAATCCTGTTTCTATGCACTGCTGAGCACTGATTTAACAATTCTATGCTGCATGTTGACGGCTGTGGCAAACAATCTTTGTAGTAGTCTTCTCTGCAATGAGCCATAAGAAACTTCCAAATTGGTTTTCCCTTCTTTTTGAAATGCATTTTGGGAAGAATCCAAAGCAAGTCCTTATCTAATTTAATTAAAAATTGTGTAGTATCTTATGTTATTTCATAGCAATAAGCGCTTTCAAAAATATAATATAAAAGAATGCAAAATGGCTTAGCTTCATGCCCTAGTTCCTTCCATGAAAAAGCAGAAAGGTTTATAAAACATTTAGCAAAATAAAACTATTCTTAATGCAGTGAGGTAGTAAAACTGAGAATGGAAAATTGTTATGAGATCATTCAATGATGGTCATCTCAAGGGAACAACTACATAAAGACCCAAGCTCAGCTTTAAAATCCTTTGTAAGTAGCATACATTATTTAAATTGAGAATAATCTGTCCAAATTATCCTTCCCCAACTTGAATATAAGAATGCTTATGAAATTATTTTCTCCTTAAAGCCTCCTAAAATTTTGTAATTGTATCACTATTGTAACAGGAAAAAACAGAAGCACGTAAAATATATAACTGTGTAGGAGTGTGTGTAGTGGATTAGATAAATGTTTGCATACATATAGAAGAGTCTAGAAAAATATACATAAATTGTCAGGTAGGTCCATTTGGAGAATGGAAATAACGTGGGAACTTGTAGTTTCACTTATACACTGTAGCATTGTTTGAATTTTTAAACAACAAATATGCATTAACTTTGTTTTAGATTACTATTATTCTTTCCTTAGAACAAGCTGTTATTGGTGAATCACAAAGGTAAATATAATCTAGTTCGTTGTGAAAACTAGATTAGCAAAGACAAAAATAAAAATCACCCATAAATCAACCAAGAGATAACCATGGATAACATCATAAGAGGGATCATTCCTACCTTTGTAAGGTGTCCCCACAGTTGTTGCATATACGTTCTTTTCATATTTCTTCAAACGGTCTTCTAAATTGTGAATCTAGAAAATAATAAATATTTATTTTTTAATTTATCTTTATTGTTGAAAATATTACAGAGGTCCCCCTTTTTCTCCATTAACCTCTTCCAANAAAATTGTGTAGTATCTTATGTTATTTCATAGCAATAAGCGCTTTCAAAAATATAATATAAAAGAATGCAAAATGGCTTAGCTTCATGCCCTAGTTCCTTCCATGAAAAAGCAGAAAGGTTTATAAAACATTTAGCAAAATAAAACTATTCTTAATGCAGTGAGGTAGTAAAACTGAGAATGGAAAATTGTTATGAGATCATTCAATGATGGTCATCTCAAGGGAACAACTACATAAAGACCCAAGCTCAGCTTTAAAATCCTTTGTAAGTAGCATACATTATTTAAATTGAGAATAATCTGTCCAAATTATCCTTCCCCAACTTGAATATAAGAATGCTTATGAAATTATTTTCTCCTTAAAGCCTCCTAAAATTTTGTAATTGTATCACTATTGTAACAGGAAAAAACAGAAGCACGTAAAATATATAACTGTGTAGGAGTGTGTGTAGTGGATTAGATAAATGTTTGCATACATATAGAAGAGTCTAGAAAAATATACATAAATTGTCAGGTAGGTCCATTTGGAGAATGGAAATAACGTGGGAACTTGTAGTTTCACTTATACACTGTAGCATTGTTTGAATTTTTAAACAACAAATATGCATTAACTTTGTTTTAGATTACTATTATTCTTTCCTTAGAACAAGCTGTTATTGGTGAATCACAAAGGTAAATATAATCTAGTTCGTTGTGAAAACTAGATTAGCAAAGACAAAAATAAAAATCACCCATAAATCAACCAAGAGATAACCATGGATAACATCATAAGAGGGATCATTCCTACCTTTGTAAGGTGTCCCCACAGTTGTTGCATATACGTTCTTTTCATATTTCTTCAAACGGTCTTCTAAATTGTGAATCTAGAAAATAATAAATATTTATTTTTTAATTTATCTTTATTGTTGAAAATATTACAGAGGTCCCCCTTTTTCTCCATTAACCTCTTCCAACCCCCACTCACTCCCCACCCCAGGCCTTCACCACACTATTGTCTGTGTCCCTGGGTTATGCATATATGCATATAAATTCTTTGGTTAATCTCTCCCCACATATCCACCCGCCCCACCTTCCCTCTGAGATTCGTCAGTCTGTTCCTTGTTTCTGTGTCACTGAATCTATTTTGTTCATCAGTTTATTATGTTCTTTAGATTCCACATATAAGTGAGATCGTGTGATATTTGTCTTTCTCTGTCTGGCTTATTTCATTTAGCATAATATTTTCCAGGTCCATCCATGCTGTCCCAAAAGGTACAAGGTCCTTCTTTACATCTGCATATTTAAATCATATCATAGAATTCACATGGAGACTATATGTAAAAAAAAAAAAAAAAAAAGAACTAATATAGCCACTAGATTTTTTAATGCTGAAAACAGCATATAGGCAAATAGAATACAAATGGCTTCTTAGATGTGACACCAAAAGCACAAAAGAAAAAATATATAAATTGGACTTTGATAAAAGTAAAACTTCTGTGCTTCTATAGACCTCATCAATTAAGTGAAAAGACAATCTACAAAATGGGAGAAAATATTTGCAAATCAGTATCTGATTAGGGATTGTATCCAGAATATATTAAGAATACTTAAACCTCAACAACAAAACAAATAACCCAACTGAAAAATGAGCTAAGGACTTGAATAGACATTGCTTGAAAGAAAATATACAAGCAGTTGAAAAGATGCTCAGTATCATTACTATTAGAAAAATGCCAATGAAAACCATAACAAGATACCACTTCATAATAGGAGGGCTATAATAAAAAAGCTTATTGGTGACAATGTGGAGAAACTAGAATCCTTATAGTTTGTTGGTGGGAATATAAAATGGTGACACTATGTAAAATAGTTTGATGGTTTCTCAAAAAGTTAACCATATAATTACCATATGATCTAGCAATTTCATGCCTGAGAATGTATCCCAAAGAATTGGAAACAGGCATTCAAACAAAAATGGTATATAATGTTCCTTGCAGCACTATTCACAATAGCCCAAAGGTGGAAATAACCCAAATGTCCATCAACTGATGAATGGATAAAGAAAATGTGGTATATCCATACAACAGAATATTACTCAGCCATAAAAAGGAATGCAATACTGATATGTGCTACAACATGGATGAACCTTAAAAACATCATACTAAATGAAAGAAGCCCGAAAACAAAAGTCCATGTATTATACGATTCCATTTATATTAAATACTGAGAACAAACCCACAGACCCAAAAAGCACATTAGTTGCTGCCAGGGGCTAGGGGAAAAGGTATGAAGAGTGACTGCTCAATGAATATAGGGTTTCCTTTTGGGGTGATGAAATGTTCTGGAACTAGATAATGCATCGTGAATAAACTGTCAGTGAATCATGTGCTTTTAAAAATGTTTCAAATGGTTAATTTTTCTATATTTGAATTTTAAGAAAACTGGAATATCCCTGGATATTTAGCCTTCACACTTAGCCTGCTGACCTGACTCACCATTCCTCCAATTTGGAAAAAGACTACTAAAAATCATGCACCACAGATACACAAATACTGGTGTTTTTATGCCTGTGCATCCTTCTAGGTATACACACATGGTCCTATTTAACTCAAATTACTGGATAACAAGTGGACAAATCATATTAAGTCAAGATAACTTAACCACTAGAAAAAAATAGTAAAGACTGATGCCAATGTGTTTTCCCTCTGATAAAAGCAAAAATAATTTTTAAAACTTAAGTTATTATAAATTAAACAAACATAAACTGTTATCCAAAATGTTAAGCATTAGAAATAAGATGCAAATGTTCTTGTTTAAATATATGTAATCACAAATTCAGAGAGATGCCCTCTATAAATGTAAAACAAAATTGCAAAGCCAACTATTAAATCAGTTCTTTTTTAACTAGTTAAAAGAGATTCAAGTACATACTAATATAAATTAAGGAAGGTAGTTAAAATAAAAGGCACCAATTAGACCTGTACCTGTTCTCTGAACTCCTGCTCTTTCAACTTTGAATCACTGATCAGACTGGTCTTCTGTGCTAGTTGTGTCTGAAAGAACAAAAAGTCAGATCTGAAATGCATATGGGTTTCATCACTGTCTGGATACTTTACTACTCGGGAATTTTTAAAACTTAAAACGGTCTCTTTATGTTTTAACTTAAAACACAGAATGCTCCTGAAAATGCACTACCTCTAGTCAAATTCAATGAAGATTTAGTCTTACCTGTAGCTCCATAATTGTTACCTGAAAGTGGAAAAGAAAAAAATGAGTGCATATTATAAAATTTTTAAGAAGCATTAAAATGGAGTAATAAGAAATTATAAGAAAATAAGAATTCAGTGATACAGTCTTAAGAGAGTGGTCAGATTTGAAATGAGACAATTTAAAATATTTGTTTTTAAACCTGGTCTATTTTGCTATACAAACTATTATAGTGTAAATATACACAAACATTGGTAAACACAAGAAATAAAAATGAAAGCTGCACAAACAGATTCTCAAACTGGGTCCCACATGGCCTGTGTGTACTTGTTGAGGTGCACAGTGGGGCAGGAAGCCACAGGGTAAACATGGCCTATCTTTCATAGCATCAATTTTACTTAAAGGCTAGGATTGCCCAGCCACAGTGGCTGAGTTGGTTGAGCATTTTTCTGAGCACTGAAAGACTGCTGATTCGATTCTCGGTCAGGGTGCATGTCTAGGTTTCCGGCCCAATTCACATGTGTGAGGCAGCAGACTGATGTTTCTTTCTCTCTCTTTCTTTCTCTCTCTCTAAGCATTTCCTCAGGTGAAGATTAAAAAGAAGAAGAAAAAATTGAGATTATAAAAATGCCTTGGTATACAGTGCCAGATAGCTCTGAATTCAGTCATTTTTCAAAATAATCCTATTACATTTGCATCTGACCCATTAACTAAAGAGAAAAATAGGAGTTGTTTTGTTTTAATCCTCACCCAAGGATATGTTTTTATTAATTTTTAAAAAGAGAAACATCAATGTGAAAAACACACATCAATCTGTTGCCTCCTGTACATGCCTCGACAGGGGATCGAACCCACAACCTAGGTATGTGCCCTGACCAGAAGTGGAACTTGCCATCTTTCTGGTGTACGGGATGACGCTCCACCCAACTGTGCCACCAGCCAGGGCAGGGACTGTTTTTCTTAATGACATATAATTAAAGACATTTCTATGTGACTACAAATAAGGCTATGTTATAGAGTAGCATATAAAATTCACATGAATTTTTAACACAAAAATATAAAAATCTAAAATTATCACACTTTCCATGGACCCTTTTGGCTATGCCTCAGGGCTGTGCAGTTCACTTTCCTCTGCTGTTCTCTCCACAGAAAAGGTTGAGACACACAGTATAACAGAAACGTCTAGGCTTTGAAGTCTCCAGATTGGGTTTAAATACCCAATACAACAATGATTGTGTGAGTCTGAACATTTTATTTAACCTCTTTGAACCTTAGTTTCACTGTCTATAAAATAAAGGCAAGGTTTTTGTTAGGATGGAATGAGGTAGGTATGTGTTAGTAAGCAAGTCAAAGAATGGAAATGACAATGTTTTCAAGAAACGTGTGATGCGAAGTCCAGTTTCTCTCACTTTATCACTGCCAGAGTGTTCTTCCTGCTGATATTTCTTCTGCAGCTCCTCAAGTTGAGTCTGCAGGTCCATTACTTTTGCAGTCATTTCCTCTTCACGAGCCTTTAGAATTAAAAAAAAAGTTAATAAACATATCAAAAAGAGCCTAGAGAGACAGCACAGTATAGAGAAAACTACCTCTGTAGGACAAACAAACACCTAAACCTGTCTGAGTCAGCATCTGTGCTAAAAAAAATTTGGAATTGGAATATTCATCAAATTTCCAAGTAATAAAGACAGGACAAGTGTCTGCTGAGTCAGGATCGAAACAGGAAAAACCACCGTAAACAGGTATCTGACTTAACAGGTGTTGACTTTGCCAGAACCAAGGAACAGTCCCAAAAGCAAACAAAATCAGATAGGCCCCATGGCATAAAATAAGGCAACAAACCACCACAGGACACATGGAAAATCTAATTTTAAATATCACTTGTCATGAATTTAGACCACCTGAAAAAGAATGAACCCCTTCTCTCAACATAAGCAAAGCAAGGATCTCCTTTGCAATCTCCACTAAGGCACAATTTAACCTAGCCACCACCCCTACAACGCCATTAACCAGAAATTATAAATACACAACTGCCCGCAGTCTTGGTTTTCTTTTTTAATATGTCTTCATTGATTTCAGAGAGAGGAAGGGAGAGGGAAAGAGAGAAACATCAATGATGAGAGAGTCATTGATTGGCTACCTCCTGCACGCCTCCTACTGGGGATCAAGCCTGCAAATGGGGCATGTGCCCTGAGTGGGAGTCGAACCAAGATTGCCCATACTGGCCAGGCAGTTTTCTCTTTTTATTTTACCATCACATATCCTGTGTGGATGCCTTTGTCAATGTAGCTTAGCCTTGTTTGAAAGGATTATCTGTTAGCTACTTATTTAGTTAGGCCCAGATTTTAATATGACAATTAGTTATGTAAAACCTTTCATTTGACAGTTGTGGGATATCGATCTAAAGCAAGCCCCCTAAGAATTAAAAAAGAATCCTTAATGTGTTATTTCTAATTTAAGAAACAGTTCTGTAATTTCCTTTGTAAAAACTTTCTAGTCTTTTTGAAGGGAGGAAAAACAGTACTGCTTGCTCTGAAGTAAAAACAAGAAAAACTAGCTAGATTGAATATTTATGCACATAAATGGAAATTATGTTTTAAAGACTAGTTACTATGCCAAAGCCAAAGCACTAAAATACAATCACTGTCAAAAAGAAACTAGTTTTGTAGCCAATACAGCTTTAGGAGCTACTTTTTCCCAGGGAAATTACTCTGAGGTTGGGACTAAGCAATTAGGTAAACTCCTTTACTTGTGCATACTCAATTCCTCCTTTGAGGGGTCACTACCTCTCTTCCCAAATAAATTCTTCCCTGCCCTGCCATGTGTCACCTCCTTCAAATTTACCAACTGTCTAGTATGAGCCAAGCATTTGGCTAGGTCCTCAAGACTAGAGATGAATAACAAAATCCCTGTCCACAAGATGCTTATAATCTAGGGAGAGTACAGATACATTAACACCTCTACACATATATGTATGTATGTATGTATGACAAAAAGCACACTATAAGTGAAGTGATATGGATGAGTACCAAAGAAAACAGATGCAATTAATTATAGTTAAGCAGTCAAGAAACAATGGTATTTTTTAAAACTTAACACATATGTGCTCTATGGAAGTATAAGAAAAAGTGAAATTATTCAAATCTTTTCATAAGGAGATCTAAAGCTCAAAAAGTATAAAAAGGTAGCATTTGTATGCATGTTTCATACCCTGGAATTCCAGCCTTTTCAATTACATTTAAAATTATTAGAATCTATTCCTGGCTGAGACTTCTACTGCTGCCATAGTCAGCTGAGACATGATTCTCTGATTTATGCATTTTTAATCATCAAATGGTTCTTACCACACAGTGAAATAAGGCTTGGAGTAACTAAAGAATCTGGAACCCAAAAAATAATAATTTACATTGTTTTACATTTGAAAATGTTCTCGAGTTCAAAATAGTCACTAGCACTTGTGGCTTATCTTCACAAACAAAAAATAACAATGATAATCCACCATTAGTGGAATAAGTACATTGAAACATTCTTCCACTAAATATAAAAGATCTGGCTTGATGCACTCCTTTTTCCTCCCCATCTTTTTCATCCCTCAAGACCAACCAAAACCATATAAATTGGGTAGGGATGAAATAAAGTTAACTGCCGTCCCCCACTCCCCCGGAAAGATCTCAACCAAGCTAAGTAGCCACACTGAAACATGCATTGCCTGGTTAGCAGAATCTGATTAGGAACTACAATCTTGGCAGAAATCAATCAGACTCCTTATAAATCTGCATACAGTTTAGAAATGCTAATTTGGGTAATACTGAACCAAAAACAAACAAACAAACAAACAAAAACCTCTACATTAAACACACACACAAAACAGGAAATCTGACAGCCCAAGCCCAGTCTTCTTTAGCACTACCATGAAATCTCTTACAGCTAAATTTCAAAATAGAGAAAATAAGGTACATCAAGGATTTCTTCGTATCTTTTGGCTGTTCTTTTTAGATCATCTTCTTTCTCTGCAATTTTTTTATATAACTGATTTGTCTCTTCTTGATGGCTTTCCAAAAGTTCAGCCTCCACTTCCTGGGCTTTATCTAATAAATAAAAAATGGACACACACAAGAAAACACATTAGGTAAGAATTAGTATCTCTATCCCAATTTCAGTAAGAATCCATGTTCCGAATCAAATTTTATGAAAAATCAACTGACCAAAATGTGCCCTTTACACAGAGCAGGAGTGTCTCTATAAGGTAATTAATTCGCAAATGCTTTCAGGTTTACCCGCTCCTCTTCTTAGTAAGGCAAGCCATGGACAGGCAGCGAAGGTTCCATTAGAGAACTTTCTTGGGCAAGAATCATTTTTCTCCAATTTAAAAACTTAAAGCACTTAACACAGTGTGAAAAGACTAGGCTTAAATTATAAATAGTCTCTGCTGATACTGACTTGTTCTTTATTGAATTTAAAATTTTCCTTACCGATGGTTTCTTTCAGGGTTGTTTCCAGCTCCTGTTCCTTTTGTGCCAGCTGTGTATGGAACTCCCTCATCAGCTGTTTTAATGTGGAATTGTGCTTCAACTCAAGATCTTCCTGCTCCTGCCTGGTTAGCAAAAATATAAAGTTAACCAATGCCATACAAAAAAACAAGCTGTAAAGAGTGACTTGGTCTTCACAACAGTGCATACAATGTGATCTCAGTAGGGCGTGTGTGTGCGTGCGTGTGCATGTGTAGGCAGAGTAAACTGTGGAAGGATACGTAAAGTATGATTATCTCTAGGGAATGGTCCTGGGGATTTGAAAACTTTTCTGTTCCACTTATAATTCCTTAGATACATACCTAATAACCATGATTTTACATGAAAAAAAGGGGGGGAGGGCTGTCCTAAATAGACACGGAGAAACACTTCCCCTGCCTGAAATTGTTTTTATATCTCCTCAGTATTTAACTTATTAGATTTATGTATAATACTTCAGGTAGGTGAAACTTAACTGTACAAAAAAGGGACTTAATTAAGGAGGACTGTCTTAAAAAATAGTCATGCTGAAAAAAAACTTACTTGATTTTCTCTTCCATTTCTTGTTCATATTCTTTCCTTGTTATGTCCAATTCTTGCTGATGTTCCTTCCGCAACATTCGAAGATCTTTCTGCAACTTCACAATCTCCTTGCCCAGCTTCTGCTTCTCCTGTTCTGCTGCTGCTAATTTAAACTCCAGGTCATTGTGCTCAGCCTCCATGTTACTAAGCAATTTGGGTTGGACCACATGTGATTTGGACTTTTCTTCCCCACTTTCTTCCAAAATTTCTGTGGCTTTACTTTTTCCATCCCTCTGTTGTTGCAAAGCCTGTAATTTTTCATATTTTGAGGTCAACGCTTCCAATTCAACTCTATGTTCTTCCTTCTCTCTTACTAAGCAGGAATCCAGCTCTTTTATCTTTTGCTCCAAAGTCTGACAGGTTAGTTCCCTCTCCTGGAGGGTTTTCTGGACATCGTCAAGCACATTTTCCAAGTTTTGCTTTGTCCCCGTGTTATTTTTCCCTCCTCCTCCTTCCATGCACTGGGATACTATCAAGGAATATTTGTTTTTTTCTTCAAGTTCTTCTCGAAGGCGATTAATCATAACCTGATCCTCGTGCTGCTTTGCCTCGGCATGCTCCAGCTTTATTAAGAGCTCCTGGTATTTGCACTGCATTTCAGAATGAGAAGAAATTGTCTCTTCTTTGTCCTGCTCTAGCCTCTGCAATAGCTTTTCTTTTTCAATTACATTTCTTTGTAAAACACTGATTTTTTCCTCACATGCCTTCTGCACACAGCCATGGAAATCTGCTGCTTCTTGCTCACTACATGCTGCCACATTTTTTGGTGATCTGGGTACAACTGATGTTTCTGATTGTGGTGAACTTTCCACTGACTTAAGTTTTGCTTCCACGACGTGACTTTCTTTCTCTCTTTCCTGCAATTTTGTATTTAGCTCACTCAGGCGGCTTTCCATCTCTTTTTTATACTGCTGTTCCTTCTCTTCCATTTGAGACAGCAACTGCTTCTTGATGGCAGCAATTTTTTGTTCAGCTTTCTTCTTCAGTTCCGCTAATTTTGCAGCGCTCTCTAGCTCCAGTCTACCTTCCAGGGCCTTTAATGCCTCTTCTTTGCTCTTCACACTTGAATTCACACGGTCCAATTCTTTCTTCTTAGCTTCAAGTTCCGATTTCACAGAAGCCACTTGCTCTTCCAGTCTTAAGGCCTTTTCTTCGGCCTCTTTCACCTTGTTGGCCTTTTCTTCTCCCAGCTCCTGAAAGTGCTGAAGTTTCTGAACCATTTCATTCTGCTCCATATTCTTTTGCTGATTGTAATTTTTAAGAACTTCGTTCAAGGACTCGATTTCACTTGTTTTCTGAGCAACATGCTCCTCTAATTCCACAACTCTCGCCGTCTGAATTTTTAACTCAGCCTCTAAATGACACTCCTTTTTCTCCAGCTTGCTCTTCTTATCTTCCATTTCGCCCTCTAAACACTCAAACCTTTTATGTTGCTGGTCGAGGTCCTCCTTCAACAAAGCCACCTGCTCATCCTTTTCACCGGCTTCCTTTGTTTTTAACTCAAGCTGCACTTGCAGTTCTTTAATAGTATTTTGATACTGTGTAAATTTTGACTGTGCTTTCTTCTTCCATTCTGAGAATTTGTTAGATGAGTGATCTACCTGTTCAAGAGCAGAAATTTTCTCTTGACTCAGAGTTTCAACTTTCAAAGATAAATCTTGCACCCGATCCAGCAATTCATGTTTTTCCTCATCGTGCCGCTTACTCAGTGATGAAATGGCGGCGTCTTTTTCAGTTAGGCTGATACTATTCTGAAGTTGAGCGTTCAGATCAGTTAGTTGTTTACTGAGACTGCTGACTTCGGATTTTTTTTCTTTAAGCTCTTCTTTCATCAATGTGACAGCATTGATGTTTTCCGATAACTCTTTCTTCAGCTGTGTGATACAAGACTCCTTGTCAGAGGCGGCCTGCTGCTGACTGCCGCCCTCCTTCCGCAAGGCTTCCTTTTCTGTTACCAGACCTTCAATATCAGCCTTCATGTTCTTAATCTCATTTTCTTTTTCTTCTAACTGGTACACAGCCTGCTGGAAAGAACTATTTAGTGTACTTTGCTCTTCTGTTAGCTGTCTAAGTTGTGCTTCTAATTCAGAAACTTTGCAAGTTTTAATTCGTAGTGCCTCCTTAACTTTAGTTGTGTGGTGCTGACAATGGGAAATTCTAGTGAGAACAGCATGAATTTTACTATTACTAAGGTTGACCAGTTCATCCGCTTTAGCCTGCAGTAAGGCTTCAGTTTTCTTAGCACATATATCCAGCTGAACTGCTAGCTCCTCAGGCAGTTTTTGGAATTCCAAGATTTTGTCTTCCAGGCTTTTCTTACTTCTTTCATGTGAAGATTTCAACCTCTGAAATTCTTCATCTGTGGCTTTCAACTTGTCAGTCAACTCGGAAACTTCAAGCTTATCTTTCTCCGACAGCGTCTGCAGCTCAACTACACGCTCCTGGAGACATGCATTTTCCTTCAGAGAATGCTGCAAGCCAACTGCCAGCTCTTTCAGCTGCGCTTTCAGTTTCACTTCATTTTGTGAGAGAGAATTTATCTGGGCAGACTTCTGGGTGACTTGTTCCTGTAAGTCCTTTATTACCGCACCCTGCTTACCGCCCTCCTCCTTCAACCACGCCATCTCCTTGTTCATCTCTTCTTTCTCACACCCAAGTACGAGGATCTTTTGCTTCAGTTCTACTACCTCTTGTTCTTTCTCCTGTAACTGGGTTTCATGTTTTTCCTGAAGTTCCTCAGCTTGCTGAGTAAGTTTCTTCTCCCAGGCTGATCTCACATCATCAAGTTCCCGCCTATGCACCTCAGTGAGACTCTCTATTTGCTCCTTTTGGTTTGCTTCCAGTCTTGACACGGCATCATGGATTCCCGCTGAGTTAGCCTGTGCCATTTCCAAAAGCTTAGCGTTGAACTGTTTTTCTTTCTGACTAAGCTCTAGAACGGTATTGTCAAGCTCTTTTTTAAGCTTGGCTTCTTGATCCAACAATTTCTTCTTTAGCGTTTCTTGCATCTCCTTTGCTTTCTGCTTAATTTTTTCCATCTTTTTCTCTTGACTTTTAAATTTGGTTTCATATTCCTCATGCAAAACACTAATACTGTCCTCCTTGGCCAACAGTTTCTGCTGGAGCGCTTCAATTTCTTTGCTCTGACCTTCTCTCATCTGTAAAATTACATTTTCCTTTTCCATCAAGATTTGCTTTGTCTGCTCCTGCTCAGTGTTACTGTCTTTAAGCTGGGACTCACACAGCTCGGTTAAAGATTTCACTTTTTCCTCCATTTCACTGTTCTGTTTTTCCAGTTGCTGCCTTAAATCCTGCACCTGGGTTTTGTAAGTGTCTAACTCAATACAAACATCTTTCTTTTGTGTTTCAACTTCAGCTACCTGCTTTGTAAGAAGAATTCTTTCTGCTTCCAAATCCAACAACTTCTGCTGCAGCTGGGCCAGCTGTTCCTCGTATGCTTTTGCCTGCTCATGCGTGGTACTCTGGTGTGACTGAAAAAGGTCCAGTTTAGCAGATGCCTGCTGGAGCTCCCTTCCAGACCTTTTAATATCTTCCTCCAAGCCCTCCACACGAGCCTGGTGCTCTTTCAGACGCTTATCCTTCTCCTCCAGGAGAAGCCCGAGTTGGTTGATCTCATCTTTCAGTGCCTTCTCAGTTCGCTGGATAGACAGCTCTTGCTCTTTAATAATATTGTCCACTTGTTGCTGGTGGTGATTTTTCTGTTCATCCAGCTTGGCCTCTAACTCCTGCTTCACTGTATCTGCTTGACTCTTTAATACAGAAAGTTCTCCTTCGAGCCTGTCACGGGCCTTTAATGCTTCCGCCAGCTCAGAAGACAAAGATTCCAGCTCTGTTTGCTTCACGTCCAGCTTTTCCAACGTCCTTTCATTCATCTCCTCTATGTGGGCCTGAAAGAGACTCTCTTTGTCTTTCAACAATGTTTCTTTCTCTTGTTCATACTTTTCCCTAAGCTTTTCCATTTCAGTCTGATGCTGCTGCTTTAAGACTTGGAGTTTTTCAGTCCAAAGGTTATCCTGCTGATGCTGCAGGTTTTCCAGTTCTGTCTTGTGTTTTTCAACCATGATTGTAACTTCTTTATTGTGCTTATTCTTTTCAGCTTCCAAATGAATAGCCAAATCTTTTGAATGAATTTTGCTTTCTTGTAAGCTTTTTTCCAAAGAACTTTCTAATTCAAGAATTCTCTGTTAATAAAAACAGATGCATTTTTATTAAGTACAGATTTGTTTATTAGCAATGCTACACATGATATGATGTCTACACCTATTTAAAGATTAAAATTTAGATAAATAACTCTACACATCACACCAAACACTAGAAAGGACCAAGAATCTATGCTCAATTCCTAAAAGAATAACATAACAAAGAAAAGATTCTATTTTTAACACAACTCATAATTCCAGATTCTTTCTACCTACATTGGTAACTATTTCCACTACCTATATTTCAAGAATGTTTTCACAGAATAGTCAATAAGAAATTCAATAAGAAATAAATTATAAAGTAGATAACTGTTGGTGGAAAGAAGGGTATTTTTTCTGTGTTTTTTAAGACCTATAATAGTATTCTACTACTTTCATAATTTAATTTTGGAAGAAAAATAATGTATCTGATTTTTCTACACCAAAAGCTATTGAATGTCAGAGCAGATCTTTAGGAATTACCAAATCCAATCTCTTCATGTAACAGGTGAGAAAATTAAGGTAAAATTAATTTACAAAGCTAGTAATTGGAAGATCTAGCCTGAGTAACCATTCCCCTCCATCATGCCATCTTACAAAAATGTTGAAAATGGGAAAATAAAGCAGTTTAGAACTATGGGTAAGAAGTGTGACTGTTTCGCTGTCTAAATCAGAACAAAAAATCTAAATAAATGACATCAGTTTATTCAAAACAGGGCATACAGAGAGAAGGACCAGAGGGCCTTAAAAATGTGCACACTGAGACATACATACAAATGTTTATTATAGGGGTATGTTTAATATGGGAAAATTGGGAAAAACTTAAATGTAAAAGCAGGGCATTGGGAAAACGAAACTATGATACAGAGAATAAAGTACATCCAGGACATGACATGAGGTAAAGCTGGACAGGCAGGAAGGTACCAGGGCAAGGGCTGCCTACAAAGTGAGGCCACTTCCTAAGGATCAGGGTGAGTAAGCAATGGAGTGGAGATTCTACAGAGTGTGAGAGCAAGGAATCAGGGTGAGCGGCAGACAGCAATAGAGCCAGCTAAAGGCAGAGCCAGGAGCACCCTGTAGCAAACACCAAACCTCTCCCATGAATAGCTATTACTACCAAAAATGAAGTGCATGTAAATGTAAATCTAACCCAGTAAAACAAAAGCTTCTCTACAACTGGAGAGAGAATTTAGTTCTCATGTTCAAACAATTTCACAGCTCTGGAACCTGAGTATCATATAAACTTACAGTTCTATAAGTCTCTGCTTCTTGCTGAATGTCCTGAAGTTTATTTTCACTCTCTGTGAGGATTGCTTTTTTCTGCAACTCTAACTCTTCCAGGGCCAGAGATTCTTGGTGTTCTTTTTCCTTGGTGATCTTCAAATATTCTGATTGACATTTTTCCTGTGCCAAAAGCAATACCACCTTAGACGCACATAAATCTTCAGCATTCCCAAAGCACTTCTATAGGAATCATACATTTCACTTGATCTGCACAGCAGCCCTGTGAGGTAGGCAGTATCATCACCTCTCTCTTCCCATGCTCTAGTCTAAAGAAACAAGGCACTAAGGGTTTTAGTGTGGTCAGGCCAGTCTTTGCCACAACTACTATTGATATGAAAAATCTCCTTCCAGTAACCCCACTACATCTGCTATTTTTCCACTACTTAAAATGTTGTGGAAAACACTACTGCATGTGAAAGGTCACACAATTGTCGCTACCTCCTCACTGCACTCCACTTTCCTGTTTAAACTCTAGGCAGAGAAACTAGATTATAAATTTATATAATTTGTGAGAAACACCTTATTATAATAGAGAGCCTTACATGGAAAACCAGTCAAAATCAGAGGATGACATATGAATACATGAATTAGGTCCATAAAATATCTATAAAAGCCTACATAACTCTTTTCAGATGATCTGGGCTCCTTTACTGTACCATGAATCCTGAAAAGCTTCTTCGATTGCCCTTATTATATATCAACATCCACCATTTGAAAAGAGAAGCTCCAGAGAGCACTTTTAACATTTAGTGGCTTTGGACTCCAATTAAGTATACCTATCTATACCTACTGCTTAAGGTTTGTATTGCCAGCTAGCTGCACTATTTTCAGTTCACTACACTCTGGTGAAGCATATTGCTTTAAGCAAAGATTTTGTAGCATATTATAGATTGATAAGAAAATATTAGTTTCTAATCAATTTTAAATATACTATATTCTTAAATGTGAACTACATTTTTTTTTATTGACTTGAGAGAGAGAAAATGAGAGAGAGAAATATCGACTTGTTCCACTAATCCATGCATACACTGGTTGCTTCTTGTATGTGCCCTGGCCAGAGATAGGAGCCTGCAACCTTGGCTTATCAGGATGACGCTCTAACCAACTGAGCTATCCGGCCAGGGCTAATGTACACTATATTTTAAATGCATGTCTTAAGTGCACATAAAAATAAGAGAGGAAATTTCACAAGTCTGTTGAATTCTGACTCTCAACTCAAAGCTAACTTCTTGAAGAAACTAGATAGAACAGGGGAGTCAAAGGGCACAGGTGCATGTGTACATGTGTGTGCTTTTTATGGTGTCTATGTCCTGCTCTCTCTATTCAGAATATATCTGAATATATCAATTCCTAGAACAAAGTTTTAACAAGGTGAGTGTTCAAGGCTAATACCCCAAAAAGCCAATTACTCCAGCACAAAAACCCACAGTCAGTCTTATGAAAAGAATTTTTAGTGCCATTCCCAGCTTCATTTACATCCCACTGTGTTCCTTCATTTCCATGCCACTATTTTATTTATTTACTTATTTTTTCCAAGTATAGTTTACATTCAGTATTATTTTGTGTTAGTTTCAGGTGCACAGCATAGTGGTTAAATAATAATATACTTTACAAAAGTGGTCTCCCAATATTTCAAGTTCCCATCTGATATGGTACATAGTCATTACATTATTATTGACTATATTCCCTATGCTATACTTTACATCTCTGTGACTGTTTTGTCACTGCCAATTTATACTTCTTAATCCCTTCACCTTGTTCACCCAACTTCCCAATTCCCTCCCTTCTGGCAACCATCAGTTTGATTTCTGTGTCTATGAATCTGTTTCTATTTTGTTTGTTCATTTATTTTGCTCTTTAGATTCCACATATAAGTGAACTCATATGGTATTTGCCTTTCTGTGTCTGACTTATTTCACTGAGCATAGTATCTTCTAGGTCCACCCAAGCTCTGGCAAATGGTAAGATTTCATTCTTTTTTATGGCTAATATTCCATGGTATGTATGTACCACCACTTTTTTAAAAGATTTTTAAAAACTGATTTTGAGACAGAGAGGAAGGGAGAGGGAGAGAGAGAAACATTGTGAGAGTGAAATATGGATTGGCTGCCTCCTGTACACCCCTCACTGAGGACTGAGCCTGCAACCTAGGTATGTGCCCCTGACTGGGAAAAGAACCATAAGCTTTTTTTTTGTTTGGTGCACGGGACAATGCTCCAACCAACTGAGCCACCCAGCCAGGGCTGCATTGAAAGCTTTTTTAAATTATACATATTACCGTATGGATAATAACTTCATATAAAAACAAACTAAATTTTTGGCATTAACACTTCTTACAATAACTTATATTAAAGGCTTTCACAATTCAAGAAAAAAATGTTTTTTCATTTTAAACTTTCAAATTATACTGCTCCAAAAATCTTGTTTTTGATTTTCTGGTTGTTGATTTGGTTAGTTCAATCAGTTGTTTTTTATTTTATTTTTATTTTTTCAACATCATATGGATTAAAAATTACTAGTGAAGTTATTCCACTTAAAATGAGAAGTGCTTGGTTTTCTTCTTTAAAATGCATTTCAGACAAAACTTCCTGGGCCGTGAGCTCGGCTCCATTATGTCTGGTGAATTTTTACACTTCTCCCTGAACTACAGAGTTGCTGGCTCACAGCTTCAGTTAACCTCTCTACTCCTTTACTTCTCCTTAATCACAGCCTACTGCCAGGGTGAGAGATGATAAACAACTGATCAATGAAAGCTTGTTACATCAGTGAATTTAATTTCCACACAATACTAAGTTACCAGCTCTGACAGCCCCTTTCCTGCCTACATTCTGTCCCTGCTTAACTCAGAGGTCAACGCTGCCAGTAGTCTGACCTCAAGCTAGAAGCCAGGGGTGAGGAGATGACAACTTTATAATGCTGTGAAGTTTACCTACGGGGGAAAAAAATACTTACAAGGGCTACTTTCATTTGCTCCTGAAATTCTCTTTCCTGGGTCTGAAACTTCTTGGTCATCTCCTGCTCTTTGTTAGCCAATTCTTCTTCATGAAGCTTCTGTAGTTTAGCAATTTGTTCTGAGGATTTCTGAAAATCAGCCAGATAGTTAAAGTGAAACACCCAGAATAAAATATGTAACTCTACCACCAAATAACACTTTGTTACAGTTTATTATCAAGCTATAGCTTTTTAAGAGAAAAAATCAGAACATATTTCCTACATAAATCAAAAGTCACCCAAGTCTCAATAGTTAAAAGAAAAACCAGTAAAGTATTGTTCCACATTTAAGACAAGGAGAGCTGCTGCTGCAGTAGTCAGTCCTGTGGGGTTGAAGCTCCTCTTCCACATCTTGCAGGGATTCCTTCACCAATCAAGATCGGGAATCATGCAGAGGAAATAAGGATGCCCGCAGAGAGGGTGCTCCACTATGGTCAAGTTGCCCAGGCTGCACCAATCTAATTATGCCTAGCTTTCTAGGCACGTACTATTTATTAAAAACTATTGACCTTGCCCTGGCTGTTGTGGCTCAGTTGGTTGGAGCATCGTCCCATACACCAAAAGGTGGTGGGTTCAATTCCCAGTCAAGGCACACACCCAGGTTTCAGGTTTGATCACTGGTTGGGGGCAACTGATCAATGTTTCTCTCTCACATCAATGTTCTTCTTTCTCTCCCTTCCTCTCTCTGAAATCAATTTTTTTTAAAAGTTTAAAATACTGACCTTATTCTTTCTCTGATAGAAAGACTTAATCTTACAAAAAAATGTCAAACCTTCCTAAATAAATGTAAAAATATAATATAATCATATAAAACTACCAACAAATGGGGTGGGGTCCACTAGACAAAATAAACATGTAAGAATAGCCAATATTCTTCTGGAAAATAAGAGTAATAAGAAGAGGTTATTAAACAGAACATATTATAAAACTAGAATAATTAAAACTGTGTAATACCAGCACATGGTCAGAAAAAGCAGTTGAATAGTACAGAGAATCCAGAAGAAAAAAAAACCCATATAGCATATAATAATTCAGTGTGTAATAAAGATAGCATGTCATGTCAGAGGGGAAAAACATGGATTATTTTAAAAAATGATTTGGAGACTACTTAGTAGTCATCTGGAAAAAATTAAAGTTGGCTCCCCCTCATCCTTATACTAAATAAATTCCAGTTGAATCAAAGACTTAACCATAAAAAATAAAAGCCTGTAAGTGCCAGAAGAAAACATAGAATTTTAAAAAATGATCTCAAGTGAGAATGTATTTTCAAAGAACAACAAAAATCCAGACATCATTTTTAAAAAAGAAAATTTTCCGCATGGCCAAAAACAAACAAACAACATAAACAAAGTCAACAAGTAAAAAACAGGAAAAGTTATTTTGATAAAAGCATCTTATATCTGAATAGATAATTCCTACCATAAATAAAAAGCCTCTATAAATCAGTAAGAAAAAGACCAAGAGCCCAACAGAAAAATGAGTCATGATTTGACCAGGTAATGCTGAAAGAAAAACTATAAATTCTTTTTAAACATATAAAAATATGTTTACCATACTGGTAAGAGATATGAACATTAACATTACAATGACATCTTTCTTTTAACTGATAAGCTTGGAAAGATAACAAAGTTAGGCAATACCTTCTTTGCAAAGGTATTGCTTGTGAGAATATAAAGTGTTCTCCATAGAGTTTGTAGCAACTATGAATAACTTAAAACTACACATAAATCTTTGCCTGAGTAATATTCCACTTCTGGGAATCTATCCTGAAGAAATATACATGTGAGCAAATATGATAAGGATATTCATCATCTGTAATAGTAAAAAATAACCTAAATATCCATTAAAAGCCTGATTAAATTATGAAGCATTCATATAATGAAATCCCAAGAAGTCTTTAAAACAAATGGGCATCATTATCAATTACTAATGACAAGGAACAATCTCCAAAACAGATTATTAAGTGGAAAAAGCAACATATAGAACAGTATATTTAACATTCTTTTTTTTTTATTAAAAAAATTAAAGAGAAGATTTTAAAACATAAGAGAGAAATTACATGCAGAGACTATCTCTGGGAAGTATATCCAAAAAGATATTAAGTTCATTTCTCTATCAAAGTGGTTTTTTTCCTGTATCCTGATCATGTAATGGTCAAGGTCTGAAATACAAAATAACTCTTCCTTATACTCATAGATTGTGGGAAGAGCATAAGGCTCAAGTTTTCAAATTACTGTAGCCCATTTCAATGTAGGATGGTTCTTACTTTCATTATATCAACAACCTCCTGCTTCGCCTGACTTAATTCTTGTTGAAGACTGATGCGTTCCTCCTCACTTGTTTTTTTAATAGCTTTTATTTGTTCATCCATTTCTGCCTTCAATTTTCTCCGTGATTCTTCTGTTTTTTGGGCTGTACTCAAGGCTTTTTCAAGTTCCTCAAAAGCTATAATGAAAACAGAAGAAAACAAGTATCTCAAGAAATACTATCATTGAGCTAAAGTGTTTTATATTCAATTTATGGAAACTAAGAGCAGCAGTAGCAGGACAGGTTAAAAAAAAATCATCAGTGTTTAAGCCAGGAGATATTTCTGAGTGGTTCAACAAAGCCACATTAAGTTCTGGATTAGGATCTTACAATTGCTTGTATGAACTTAAACTCAGAAGTTTGAAACAAATATTAAATTACTAACGGTTCCCCACTCTACCCAAAAATGCCCTTATGGATAGCAAACTCAAAGAAATAAAGACTTGTACCTACCTCTGCACTATGCAATTTTAACTGTGTGGGTTTTTTTGTTTGCTATGTAGTTCTTATCTATTATCAATAATCAATTAATATTATTATGTATTCACTAGGACATTTTTAATGGAAAGATTATTCTTTGACTAATCTTATTTTTTAAAACCTGTTAACCATATAATAAAAGAACAGTTTTTTTTCAACATCTTACTGGCTGAATCACATATTAAACAATGTACTTCGAAATGAAACCTACTGCCTGTATAAGTTTTGAACTAGGGCTATTAACTGGAAAACTTTACCTGATTCAACAGTATATAGAAAAGTACTATCAGCAGGGAGTTCTTAGGTGAAATAAGTAAGAATTCAGGGCCTGTAAAAACACACATCTAGCCCAGAGTATTACTATCTTTAAGGAGGCCAAACAACTCACCCAGCATCAAAGTTAGATGGGTTGGGTGCAACAGATGGGTAACTTGGCACCAAAAATATGTATGCGTGTATGTTTATGTATATTTGTGTATATATGTCTGTGTATGTGCGTGTATGTGTGCACTGTATATGCATGTGTGTGTATCTACTGGCATAATGATCCCTATAAAAGCCATACTGCTATTATATTCTAGCTTATTTCCTCTAGTCCTCACAGAAGTCAGACTTTTCTTTACCATAGAGATGGACTATAAATAAAACATCAATTATCAAGATGGGCTTTAATCCTATCAAGAAATATATGCAGGGGGGTCAGTTCACTGACATCTGTGTGGCATTTTCACTCCCAATGGTATAAGAAATGTAGAACTTCAACCTACGGCATCTGGGGGAAAAGAGCCCTTTTATTAACCACACCGTGGCTTAACGGAGAGTAGTTTAAGCACAGGAATTTCATACCTGAACACAAGAACTGTTCTAAAGAATTCTCTTAATGGCAAATTGCATTAGTACAGAAAAAGGCAAGAGAAAGGCTGAATTCTACTAACAACTGGGAAACATAACTTAATTTGCTTGACACTTATTAAACAAAAACTTCTCTGTGCAACCATGTATCTTTGATATAATAAGAAACTTATCTCATTTATTCATTTTATATGCCCAAAGCATAAAACTAATGCTCAAATATAGTCTAAATTTCAAAGAAACATTAGTTAGCTGAAATGATTTTTTTAAAGATTCCTATGCTAGTTTTACTGGTATTTGCCTGCAAACAGCAAGATGATGATAATCCTTAGATATAAATATGTTGGAAAATAAAGTATTTAAAAGACATGTTGTTTTTGTTTTATTTAGATATTCCTTTACTATAAATTCTAGTGTCGCCCTGGCTGGTGTTGCTCAGATGGTTGGAGCATCGTCCTGTGCACCAAAAGGTTGTGGGTTTGATTCTGGTCAGGGCACTAAAGTAGGTTGCAGGCTCAATCCCTGGTCGGTGTGCAGGGCGTATACGAGAGGCAACGGATCGATGTTTCTCTCTCACATCACTGTTTCTCATTCTCTCTCTCTCTCTTCTCTCCCTCACTTCCACTCTCTAAAAATCAATAAACATATCCTTGGGCAATGATTAAATTTTTAAAACTTCTAGTATCAAGCATAAAGAAATATCTCTTACTACTGACAAGAAATTTAGTTTCCTAATTTCTTAAAAATCAAGTAAAGTGATCAATTATGGGAAAGAGATTCTGTAAGAGTGCTTACTGCTTAGTTTGTGCTGAAGGTTTAAATGTGGGAAAGGAAAAAATGGAAAAAGGAATGACTGTTTTTCAATGCTTGGATGTCATCAGCATCTTTGCATTATGGTTATTATTCAGCATGTAAAATTGTAACTTAGCATTTCTAAGCACTTCACAAAAATATTTTAAATCAGGCTCTGGAGAATCTGAAGATACTTTTGATATTCTTCCAGCAAAACAGTTTTAAATGAAAAGCTTTTGTCACTTAAGCAAAATAAAACAAAACTGTATACAGTGATACCAAGGGAATTTTCCTTGTTTTCATTTTTAAAATTCCAGAATCCAGTACAGTATAAAAATAGATGTAGTGTTCCCACTCTTTCAAACAAAAAAATCCATGCCACAAAGCTCCGATTTAGATATACTTTTCCAATAATTAAGTTTTCTAACCACAATCAGTTTAATCCACTGAAAAAGTTTTCCTAAGTAATTTGATTATCCATCATAATAATTAAATAAGGATAAATCTGGTTCTGCAGTTCTTTTCGTCTAAATTTAATATTTTCTCCCACCTTCTGCTACCATGTCAGAGAACCAGAGATCTTTTAATTCAATGTCCTCATTCAAATGCAAGAACTGAGGCACCCAACTTTTTTCCTCAGATGATAAATCAACCTGAATATGTAGGCTTGATAGTAAAACTTTAAAATTGTATTTAAGGAACAACCCTTACCTTGCATTATTTTTTAAAACTAACAATGCTGACATTGATCGTGTTCAGGTAAGCAATAATATATCTTACTAAACCAGAATTTCTGAACCATTCAATTACTGATGGCTTCTGACTCAACAAAATGCAGCATGTTATACCTCTGGTACACAAAAACTCAACTGCTTGCCACTTCCATCCTGCTTTACAAAATTTTAAGTACAAAAAAATAAATAAATAAAAGCATTACAACGCATTGCATATATCCACATACAGAAAACCTATTTCAAACATTCTGGATTCTACACTGGAACACAAATGAAGCCACTTCCTTACAGGAAGTCTGTCTCCAATGAGTCCCATTTCAGTGCTGGAGGACACATTGAGAATTTACTTACTAACCAGAAACGTCTCACCTTCTGATGCTGCAAAAACCAGATACAGTAAAGTGGTGTCCAGGATGAAACTATGCTAGGATTTTCATGTGAGTACTAAAGAAGCATGTTCTGAACATCTACATTATTTATCTTGCAATTACCAAGGAAGGACAAGTGAGTGGGGAGAACAAACGGGAGCATCAGCCACAGCTGATGAGTCTCTGCCAACATGCAAGAGCGCGCGGGGAAGCCATGGTCACGGCACACACACCAACAGGAGGCTAAGCACGAACTGCCATCGAATGTTGCAAGAACACGCTGTGTTCTTCCAAAGCAAAATTCAATGTATCTCAGGCAATTTTTATTTAAAAAACAAAACAAAACAAAAAGAACTCTGAAAATATTACTAGGCAAAAATTTATTGAACCTTAAGAATAGTCCTCTGCCAAAAGTAAATTGTGGAAGAGGCGTTTTATTGCTATCTCCTCCCTTTCCATTGCAGGTGTGGTTTGTTCACGTCTACGGGAATTATAAAAGGGACAGATGCTCACTGCGAGAGTTAAGTGAGAAATGTCGGCAACAGCTCAATAATCCAACCACTCGTTCCTCATGCATTTACTGGGTGTTTGCCACCTGCCAACCATAGGCTAGGCACCGGGTGACATAAAGAACATTTTCACACACTCAAAACACACAGCTGAAGTAGTAGGAGAGGAAGAGAAAGGAAAGAATGAATCCCTCGGTAAAGGCAGGAAGAATGCGGCATTTGCTTCTGCCACCTCATCACCTCACCTGCCCTCATTCATCCTCAGTGCCCTTAATGACCCTGACAAATGCCAGAATTCTGAGACTCCGGGTAGCATTACTGAGGTTTCGCTGCACGGTTCCAGGGGGCGTTACCGTAAGAATAGCAAGGCCCACGTCTGCTCCCACTACAGGGAATACACAAACGTGCAGAAGCGTGGAAAGGCCGCCTGTCTCTCAATGAGCCGTTGGCCCCAAGGAGCTGACTGCGAACATCAAGAAATGAATAAGGAAGCTGGTGCCTGTCTTCACCCCAGCAAAAAAGGCACTAAGATAAAATGCACGCGATACTAAACTAAAAAACAAAGGCAACACTACAAAAGGAATAAAATGCAAACTAACAGAAAAGCAACAAAAGGAATTTTGATCAGAACTTCCATCCCATCACCAAGACTCTTGTGAATAAAAGCAGAAGTCCAGTGGCAGTTTTCAAAGTGTGGTCCAAAGATCTTTGGGTCTTGAGACCCTTTCAGAGGGCCTATCAGGTCCTCCCTTCTCCAAATACATATCTGTATGAGGGGAGACTTTCTTGATACATTTCAACCAAAATAACATATTACAACAGATTAAATGCAAAAACAGATATAAGCCCGGCCGGGCGTGGCTCAGCAGATCAGGGTTTGATTCCTGGTCAGGGCACATGCCCGGGTTGCGGGCTAAGCAGCCAATCAATGACTCTCTCATCATTGACATTTCTCTCTCTCTCTCCCTCTCCTTTCCTCTCTCTGAAATCAATCAATATATTTTTTTTTTTAAAAAAAGATATAAAATCCATCTATCTCCTATTAAGCCCAACAATGAGATCAGCAAAAATGTAAAACAAGGCCACTCTTCACACTAAATTTTGTTTTGGAAAATATAGGTAATTTTCATAAAAGTATTTAACTAATATATAATAGGCTTATCATTGTTATTTTGAAATGAACTAAACAAACATTTTTAAATCTCTAATACAGTAAATATCACTACACATAACCCACATAAAAAAAGTTCTTTGAAATCCTCAGTAAGTTTTAAGAGTCTAAAGAGGTCCCTAAGAGTAAAAATTTTGAAAACTACTCCTCTAGAGTTTAAATAAAAATAAAATAATACTACCACCCAGTGGCACAACCAGCCAGTACAATATTTATATATAAATTGGGGCCT